CAGAAAAGCTGTTTTGTTTCTAATGAATAATTAGACTATGAGAGTGCCTTCAAGTTTGGCTTTCAGCTTTACACCAGATAAAAGGAAGTGATGAGACTTGTTTCATGCTGGTTATAAGGGAGTTAAGAATGTCGCGAGTTGAGGGAGGGACTTAGGCGGAAGTGTGGAAAGTAATGGAGAGGCAGCCCAGAGGCCGCTTGATGACAGAAGCCAAGGCTCCCAGACCTCAGGGACTCCCTGGGAGGCCTGCCACAGTCAGCCTGCAGACATTAGCACTTGATATCTTATTCTCAAACTCATTCATTGAACATGATGTCCTTGCCTGTCTTGGTGGAATGAGTGAATCAATGTGCATCTCTGAGCCGCGGTATCGTGAGGTACTGTGCGTTGCATCTCTAACCATTTGCACGAGTGGAGGATAGTCATACCTTTTCCAGGTGATGCTTTGGGGAGTATTGAGCAAGAGTATTCTTACTATATAAGTAAGAAAATAACACTCAAAATAAATAAATAAAAAGGGCAGGATAACCAGAGGGACATGCACGGTCATGTAAAAAATAGGAGCAATATATCACCAGCCTGTGAAAAATTAATTTGCTGCTATTTCATATTGCACATTCTTTGACTTCCCTTCTTTATACTTCAAACTACAGCGATTCTTAATTTGTCTTATTCTCCCTACACTCTCCGAATAGGTTTTGTTTTTTAAGCAAGTCATTTGTCCAGCAATGCTAAAACTAAAATGTTCTCTCTGCACAATAGGTGTTTTTAGCAAGTCAGATATGCACAGTTAAGCTGTGCCTGCAGAGTTTTTCTTCTTAAAGTGCAGTCAATTGACCATGTCCCAGCACTAATTTGTTTCTAACAGGTAAGGCAGGTAAACAGGTTGCCCCGTACAACAGTGACCGCAGCCATCATGGCCGGGGCTCTCCTTCTGTTCTCAGCCGAGGGACGTTTAAATGCAGAAGCATGCCTCAGCTTAGAACCACACGTCTCCAGACTCTGATTCCCTCGAAAGGCAGATTTTTTTTTTCCATTTGCCCAGCATTAAGTTTGATACTTCCATTTAGAAAACAAGGCTTGTTCTCCTAAGGAAATTCTGCATAAATGACTTAAAACTAGTCTGGGACAAAAATCTTTTAAAGGCATTATGTTAATACCCTAATGAAATGATAATATACATCTGCCCATGATATAAAAATAATCTTTACAGTACTCTCCAAGTAGTATTTTTATTTACAATTTGGTCAGATTTTAGACACTCACAGGTGCCTTAAAGTTCCATCTTAAAATAATAATGCTAGAGGGCAGGTGGTAGATTTCTAGGACATTATTATATTTCTTCAGGCATTTAGCCGGCAGCTTGGTTTTTCATAATAATTTCAGTCCTGAGAAACTATAATTATCCTGAAGCACACTACTTATACTGTCTTATTTCTTAATTACAGTAGTGGCATGAGATAAATGCATACTTATTGGGATCAAATGCACATTATTTTGTGGTGATTATAAAGGAGTTCTCATGACAACAATTGCAATTATATGGTCATCAACTACTGATACTATGTTATGTTCTAGAAACTCTGTAATTAAGTCCTGCCAAAAGGACACTTCCTATTTGGGGGCGGGGGGGTGGGGGGAGCGGTGGCGGGAAGCTTAGAGGGAGAGAAGTTAGCCAATGTAAAAATTACTGAGAGACATAGATCCCCCGAGCCTGTTCAAATGATTCTGCATGAATCTCAAGTAACAACATTGTATCAACGAACATTTGGGGAATTTGATTTAAATTTCTATCTAAACAAGCTATATAAAGAATCTTCTTTAAAATAGCCTTTCTCTTTTCTGACCTTTAGAATAAAGAGCTTTGAATACACCCCACCAGGGAAAAATGGACTGGAAATATGATAGGAGTGATACTGCCTTCAAAAGATAAATCTGCAGGCAATCAGTAATATTCTTTCAAATACTATAATTCATCGTTTTAAAAGTTTTCATGTAAGATTCCAAAAATAATTTATCTTCTGTCATTCCAATTTAAAAGAAGAAAAGAAAAAACTTTAAGTTACCAAGATATTACTTACATAGATTTTCCACTTTTTTCTATAGACAGATGTCTTTGCCTTTTTTTTCTTTTTTTTTTTTCAAAAAAAGCAGAAGGAAAGAAAAAAGATGGATTTCAAACTCTGTGTATTAAACTCTTTGGGTGAAGGTGTCAGATATATCATGTGTCAGATTTGGGAATCAGATGGCCTGGGTTTTAAATTCTCCTCTGCCTTTGACTAGATGTGGGACTTGGACAAGTTCCTTAACTCTGCCTCAGTCTCTTCATCTGTAAAAAGGGACAATAACTGTATCTACCTCATAAGAATTATCTGTTAAAGTATTTAAACTTTTTGTATATATAAAGGGCTTAGATTCATGCCTTGCACATAGTAAGCATTATATACTTTATTATTATTATTATGGTATTATTTTTTGTAATTATTTTATGGTATTATTTTATGTAATACAGGGATATGAAGGACAATGGGCCAAGCTCTCCCACTCTCCTTCCCACCTTCATCCATGGTGAGGAGTATCTCTAATCATTTTAATAGGCTTTCCTCAGAGAATTTTTTTCAGCATTCTAACATAGCACATTGAAAGAGATTTTTTTTCCGGGCCCCTGGGTGGTTCAGTTGGTTAAGCGACTGCCTTCGGCTCAGGTCATGATCCTGGAGTCCCGGGATCGAGTCCTGCATCGGGCTCCCTGCTCGGCGGGGAGCCTGCTTCTGCCTCTGACCCTCCCCCCTCTCATGTGCTCTCTCTCTCTCATTCTCTCTGTCTCAAATAAATAAATAAAATCTTTAAAAAAAAAAAAAAGAAAGAGATTTTTTTCCAAGGTAAAAAGGACATTCAATGAACCTGATATCTTTAACTTATAACTTACTCTGGCAATACTTTGCCAGCCTGTTGTTTGTTTTATTTTGTTTTTTAAATTCTGGAACAAGCTAATGCCTTGTTATCTTTAACACCAAAAGTATCCTCTTTGGACATTTGCAGTTATCCAATGACATGTTAGGTCTTGGACGCAATAGTTCTGCAATGTATAATCTTTATTGCATGGCTAGCAATCTAACCAGGTTGCAATGACATGATATTGGAATGGTTACTGCAAACCGGTTTTTATTTTCACAATAGTTCAAACAACCCAAATAAGCACACCAAGAAATGTAAACCCTTAAAAAAGAGGCAGTAAGCATCCATAAAAAAATTAGCCATGCAATACTTGACTTCCTATATACTGACGTGTGGATATTATTTTCTGGTTAACATCACATGTTGTATTTGTTTTAATGTTATTATTTCTAACATTCTATTACTGTTACTTTTCCAATGAAGTTAATAAAATATATGTTAACTTCTCTGGAATATTTATAGTTCTAAATAATAAGTAATAAAATGAATTTTTGAGATACATGCAAATATAATGAGATTGAGGAACAAGTACAAATACTGTGTATGGTAGAAAATTATTAATTCCCTTTTTATGACTTGCATTAGTCATCTCTACATGCAATCTCTACAATTTAGATCAAGAATATACAAATTCTCCTTCATTTAATATTTTAATATTCCAACTGCAATCTCTGATGGATTATATATCAGATTATATCTGTAAGCATATTCAAAATTTTTGTTGCTGTTTCCAGAGCAATCAACCTAGATTTTACTTTTTCTTAGTCTCTGATCTACAAAAATACAATACCAAATGCTATGATATTTTTAGAGTTAATATAGAAATAGGAAATATTGCAAAAGGATTAGTAAGTATGGAGGAGTTTTTTGGCTAAATGCAATCAGTTTCAATGCAAACATTAACAATTTCTTTATTTCAGTAACTCTTCATTAGACCTTTGAGTCTAATTCCAATTTGAGTCTAAATCTAATTCAATCTATGTACATACCTAAACCAGTAAAGATCTGTAACAATTGTTTTATTTTAGAACTAGTCTAATTTCTAATTCTGGTTCTTCACTAGCCTGGAAGTTATTAGGTTATTGGGTTTGATGATGTTGATTCTACAATAGGGAAAAACTAATATGGAAATTAACTATATTTTTAATGAACAGTGAGGGGGAAAAGAAAAATGCAACTTCAATTTCCATTTTAAGAGTGAGTTTAAGAGTGATTTTAAAATAGAAATCAAATGTGTGGCTTTCCGCTTGTGTTAGCTGTGCAAACTGCCATAAGAAGATACCACAGACTGGGTGGTTTAACCAACAGACATTTATTTTCTCACAGTTTTGGATGCTAGAAGTCCATGACTGAGGTGCCAGCAAATTTAGCTTCCTTCTGGCTGTGATAGAGGGAGGGAGGGAGATGGGGGTAGAAGAGGAGAGGGAAGAATGCAGAGAAGAGAGAGGGAGGGAGAGAGAGATGGAGGAAAGGAGGGAGAGAGAGGGGAAGTGAGGTAGGGAAAGGAGGAGAGAGGGAGGGAGCAGGGGAGAGAAGGAGGGAGAGAGAGAGAGAATGAGTGCAGGTATCTCTTCCTCTTATAAGGGCTCAAGACCTATCAGGGTGCCTGAGTGGCTCAGGTCATGAGCCCAGGGTCCTGGGATCCAGCCCCGTGTGGAGCTCCCTGCTCAGCTTCCCAGCTTCCCCCTCTCGCTCTGCTGCTCCCACTGCTTGTGTGCTCACTCTTCACTCTCTCTATCAAATAAATAAATAAAATCTTAAAAAAAAAAAACTATCAGGACTAGGGCCCTGCCCTTATTACCTTGTTTAACCATAATTACCTTCCTATAAACCTAGTCTTCAAAAAGTCACATTGGATGCTATGGTTTCAACATATATATTTGGGAGGAACACAATTCAGTTTATAACACCACCTCAAATGATAATTACACCTCTCAAGAAATTCCAAGGTTAGGTGAGGTCCTGCCTAGAGCTTCTATGCCGCTTCTGAACTTAAGTATGTTATATTTTATGGTCATTTTTATTTATCTTTTATCTTTCAGATCAGCATTTTCATGACCCATTTGTCGAACTATGGGAATGACCGCCTGGGGTTATATACCTTCGTGAACTTGGCCAACTTCGTGCAGAGCTGGACCAACCTGAGATTGCAAACTCTGCCCCCAGTGCAACTAGCACACAAGTACTTTGAGCTCTTCCCTGAGCAGAAAGACCCTCTCTGGCAGGTAACACTGAACATTCTGTCCTGTAGTGGAAGGAAAGAAACCAGTACCTAATTTGTATTAGGAACTCTGGTGGAGGTATTAAAACTGACATTTAGCCCAAACTTTTTTTATTCAATAGTTTCGTTCTCTTCAATAACATTTTTTGTTTTACGGATTAAGTGTATTTTTTGTTTTTCTGGGGTTTGGTTGGTTGGTTTGGTTGGTTCCGAATTTTTGCTTTGAGGAGGCTGTTTTATTGTTGGTGTCTTCTCAGTGTTAATCATTTTGACTCTCATTTAGTGTGAGCACTAACTGGCAGTAAAATAGTTAGGCACTGGGTATCTAGGGAGATAGAAACCAAGAGCAGTCATAATCTAAGACCCTATAACTAAACCCTAATATGCATGTATAAACACAGATAGTATAAATAAAAAGGGAAAAGCAATTTTTATCACATGCTTATACAGATTCTGTCTTTAATATGTCTCCATATTTCTTTTTTTTTTATATTTATTTATTTATTTGTTTGACAGAGAGAGACAGAGCGAGAGAGGGAACACAAGCAGGGGGAGTGGGAGAGGGAGAAGCAGGCTTCCCGCGGAGCAGGGAGACCGATGTGGGGCTCGATCCCAGGATCCTGGGATCATGACCTGAGGCAAACGCAGATGTTAGGGGCCCTTCCATATTTCTTTTAAATCTAACTAATCTTTCACCAGGACCAGATCTATTGGTAAAAGAAAAATTGTCAGTTTTAGGATTGCTTTTACAAATAATTCAGCTTCATGTGGGAGCCACGCAGCCTCCATGTATGAAAATGTAAACTATCTGCTTCTTAGCAGTTTTCTAGGAAAATGCCACCTCCCACTTTCTTGGTTCTTTATGCACTACATTGCATTGACGCACACAGTCAATAAGCTGGCTGCAGAGACAGAGCACGTAGGGCCCTGCTAAGCGGCTGGTAGAGGGGTAGCATCATCATTACTGAGAAATCATTGTGAAACTGACTTTTTACCATCCATCCTCTCTCTCTATCTCCTCAAGACTATGTGTTTCTCTTTATTCCATAATTCACGTTACATGCATAGACTCTGTGTCTGTGCAGTCCGGAATTCACCCAACACATGTTTCTTAAGCATCTACCATGTGTAAAGCAAGGCTAGTTGCTCTAGAGAATGCAAAGAAGAAAACACAGTGTTTTCTCTCAAAGTCAGTGAAGGGTTTCCTTGTTACTCTGATTCGCTAGTATGTATTTCAGAATGTGCTTTAAAACTGACTGCTACAGTAAGTCATACTTTATTCTGATGATTTATTCAGGAACTCTTCACTATTTGTGTTTATGTTGAACTACACATTCTAATTCTTTCACACTTCTAATAAGTTGCTTCATCATCTGTTTGTCTGGTGTATAATTATTATGGTGTATATAATACCAAGTAGCTGCTGGATTTCATAAAGGCAAAGCATAAATAGCGTTATTCAAAAGTGCTTACACACTTATAGAATTGATAAATCATTGATAGTAAATCAATTCTTTTCTCACACGTGTTTATTTGTGAGATATCTATAATTCATGGTATGGTAACAATAAAAAGTAGCCAACTTAACAAAGGTTGCAAAGAGTTAACATATAAAAAATGAGTCAATAGCCCCAAGCTCTAATCTTCCTTTTCCTTTAGAGGCAGAATTTTTTTTTAGATGAAGGATTTGTATCTCTTACTATTGTATGAGTTTTTTTTAATTAAGAATTGTATCTATTGATATAGGTTCAATATCAGTGACACTGTTCCTTTTTGGTAAGGAATGAATATAATCAAAGATACACCAGTTCTGAAGCACCTGGTGTTCAGTTGGTTAAGCATCTGACTCTTGATTTCAGCTCAGGTCATGATCTCGGGGTTGTGAGATTGAGCCCGGTGTCAGGCTCTGTCTGCACTGGGCTTGGAGCCTACTTAAGATTCTCTCTTTTCTTCTCCCTCTGTCCTTCCTTTCTTTCTCTCCCTCTTAAAAAAAAAAAAAAAAAAGATATACCAGCTCCAATATGATTGGTCAATTTGGTGATTCTAAATATTGATTGAATTTTTGTTATGTATGAAATACTGTGTTAGTTGATTGGGGGTGTAAATGAAAATTAGAAACAGAAAATAGAACTATTTCTTAGAAAACTATATTATTTTGAAAACATAAGAACATAAATATATACAAAACATTTGTAAGTGCTGACAATTAATTTTGAATAGCATCATAGAGTTAATTCTTAGGTAGTTCTTAATAAATGATAAAATTAATCAGAAAAGGCTTCAGAGAGTTCACAAATTTTTGTTATTGCTGTTGTCATTTGTATGTTTAGCAATTTTAATATATATTATCAAAATAGTTTATTATAAACATATTTAAATAACACTGAAGAGTAAATATTTACTAAAAGAACCCCATTTTATCAAGTGAATTATATGGTTTCTTTGGACTGAAAAATAACGTTGCAAGCATTTCTTATTAACTAAAGTGCCATGTATTCTAAATATGTTTAAAAAGGAAAACAAGAAATAGAAAGCAGAAGAGCAGTTAAGTTCAAGAGAGAATTATTCAGGTACGTGAGATTGTGAAAACAGTTGACCTGTTGAAGCAAATCTGATAAACTGCGCCAGTGATAAACCACGTTCATGAGACTGCAAATGGTTAAGTAGAGATAAAGTGCATAATACTGTCTGAGTCCCTTTCCCTGGCAGTTATCTCTTCTCTCCATATTCAGATTTATAATGATAAACAAAGCAGCTGTAAGCATTATCATCATGTTCTTTAAACAACATGAATTTAATTTTACAAAAAAACATATGAGCATAACCAGCACTAATTGTGTTGTAGCCTACTCATCACAGGCCTACAGAGTTAGGATAGATTAATATTATGTGTCTGTCATCGTTACATATTCTCAAAATTGAGGTACTTTTTTGTGTTTCAAAGCATGCCTTCTTATTTAGTGTATTTCACTTTTAAAAAGTACGTCAACTGTTATTTTTCTCTAGATTTTTAATTCACACTTTTTTATTACTACAAATAAAAATAAAACATGAAGAATGATGATCTTCACATCTATTTAGTTTCCTTTGGTTCTTTATGCAAATTTTCATTAGCACCAACTACCATGTCTATGAGACTGCTTTGTCACCTAATTAAAAAGTGCAATATGAGTATCTATCAATGGACAGCATGGTAAGAACAACACAGAATGTGTCTGTGCTCCCTTCACTGGAAGCTGCTTCTTTCAAAGCTGCTAAATGTGAGAATATATGCTGAGGACACACATGGAACTCTATCCCTCGAGTTTATCCTCCTCAGTGTAGTCCCGAGTGTGTAAGATTCTTAAAAGTATTCTCACGGGTTCCTGTTAATTCCTACCCCTTTTTGTTTGGGGAGAATAATTACTATGAAGCATGGAAGAACAGGATTTCCTTTTTTTTCTTTTTTTTTTTTTAAACTCTCATTATAGAAACCAAAACCAAAACATAGAGGCATTTAGAAGGTCAGATTCTTGCACATTTGCTAATCGATGCTTTTAAGCTCTCAAGCTGTCAGGTTAGCTCAGCCTCAATCATCACTCAGTCACTCCAGACTCTCACTATCAACAAACATGCCAAGCGTGATGTGGATTCCTGCTTGCCCGCATGACCAAGGGAATGCTCAAAGAGCTGCAGGGTCTCTCTCTCTCTCTCTCCATGCCAGTATTGCCAGGATTAAAGAAGTAGGAAAGAAAATCACAGGGTGCTAACCTTGGGAGGTTAGCACCTTTGTTGACTCTGGCTGTGAAATCATCCAACTCCAGCTTACAGAGCATGAGCTGTAATGTCACATGTCATATGTCACATGTCACATGTCATATGTCACATCCGTGACATACACAAATCAGAAGTTCTAGTGACACACACACTGCAGATTCTATTACTATATGCCTGTTGAAGGAATAAATGAATTCTGACCCAGAGAATTATAGATTGTAAGAGTAGGAGAAAAAGTTAGGGACATGTAGCCCAATCTATTCAGTTTAGAGAAGACACAAGTGACACCCAGCGAGGTGAAATATCTTGTCCTAAGTCACTCGGATTACTGGGGACAGGTCAGGAGTAAAGCTCAGGTTCTCTTATTCCTACTCCAGTGTATTTCCGGCCACACCAAGATGGTGGTTTTACATTTAGAAAAATAAATCTACGGGGCGCCTGGGTGGCTCAGTTGGTTAAGCGACTGCCTTCAGCTCAGGTCATGATCCCAGAGTCCCGGGATCGAGTCCCACATCGGGCTCCCTGCTCAGCAGGGAGTCTGCTTCTCCCTCTGACCCTCCTCCCTCTCATGCTCTCTGTCTCTCATTCTCTCTCTCGCAAATAAATAAAATCTTAAAAAAAAAAATTTAAAAAAGAAAAATAAATCTACTTCTATCTTGGACTCTCTCTGTAGGACGGTTTCAGGCATACATTGTTACTTTAGAAGAATCTGGTGGTGTATTCAGTGTGAATTTATTTGACCTACACTTTTGAAGTACCTACGTAATAGAAAGGTCTTTGCTTTCACAGAACTTACAAACCATAATAGCTCCTGGTTATGTGAACAAAATGACATTATGAATTTGTTTTCATATTTATTCCTCTGTCTTCCACTCTAGTCCTTCTTTATGACTCTATTATTGCACTTACTGTATGGTCTTGCAGAGGCTTATGCCTGTCATACACCAGCTCATGCAGACCTTAAGGGGTGAGACTAGGTTTATACATGTTTGTAACCTAGAGCCTAGCATGGTACCATAGCTGCCGTCATTAAAATGTCATGAATGAATAAGCCAAAGCAGAGGTGGGTGCCTGTGCACAGAGAACAGTCAAAGTGGCACACTTGTTTCTTAGAGAACAGTAGGGATCCAGTGGGAAATAACCTTGAAAAGCACATACAAGGCAGCTGGGAAAACTTTGAAAGCTACCAGAGTCGTCTGGATTTGACAGGCAACAAGGAACCTATATGTGTCGGTTCTGAAGATGAGA